CTGTGCGGGTGGAATACTCTCGATAAGCTTGCTGGGCTCTTCGAGAAGGATTGAGGCTTTTGGGGATTTCTTATGAATATGGTCAGTAAAATTCCCAGGAATTCTATTCTACCCTATCACTTGTAATACTGGGAGAGTGAGCTGATCAAATGTATATGGATGCAAAGAGACTCTAGACCCAAGACCAACTCTGTGCCAGTTTGACCTATGCTGATCATTTTGAATCTTACCTGATATCAAATTTTACTTCTCAGTTGGTTCAGAACCTCTGGAGATGGAGGATGCAATGAATGAACAGGAAACAAATTCTGGGGCAGAAATGGTGAAAGTCTTTTTAAGATAGGCAAAGCCGCTAAACCAAGGCACTAACACCGATCTGAAATGAGCTCAGAGACAGCTGGGAAATAAAGGAAGAGGATTGTGAATTCACGAGTGGGGGTGCAGTGGTGGAAAACTGCTTCCCCAGGCCTCCCCAAGAGAGGAACAAGGAGACAGGGGACCACAGACTGATAGTCAAAATGACCCATTTGATGTGGTGCTGCTAGCATACTTATAGCACATCTGAAGGAGGTTGAGGTATGGGACTGCACATAGGTATGTTTAATTGATCATTTATAGAGGTAAAGCATTTTGGGTCGGGGCAATTCTCTTGGGGGGATTAACTCAAGGAGACATTCTGTCTCTCGGGGACATGTACTTTGCTTTTCTCTTTCCATTAAGTTGTACATATCAAACAATTAAGTTTGCTTCTTATTAATACTCGCAGTTATTTGGTTAAACACAGTAAGAGATATAGATTCCAAAACTTAGTTCTCTGGACTCTGAGGGCAAGCAAGACTTTTACCGTAAATCCCAGACTAAGTCCTCAGTCAAGTTCAGCTTGTCCTTTCCCATGGGGGTCCTGTCTCTTAAGTCATTTATGTTTTCTAGACTGTCCCATTTTTGATGCTAGGGTAGCTTAGCTGCTCTCCCTGGGTCCATCCCAGTCCCATAGTGGGACCTCCCTTTGGGGGTTTTAAGAATTTTGGCAAGCAAAGCCTGAGTCAAGTATTTATGACAGATGCCCAGAAATAGATATATTTCAGAGTCAATCAATGCCCAAATATTAAGAGCACAGAATTAGCGGTCTTTCTGTGTTTAAGCAAAGAACAGTGTCCTGCAGTAAAATATGAAAAGGCTATAGGGGAAATAGAAAAGCAAGTAATTCACTTAAACTACAAAGTCCAGAATAACCAGAAGTTTTGACTTATAAGTAACCAAGACTGACTTGAGGAATTGTGATAGAGGTAAAACATAAAGGAAAAGTTAAAGATAAACTTGGGGAATTAGGGGTGCTCGCAAGAGCACTGTAAGCTCCTGGGTGGGGGGAGGGAAAGGGACAATTCAAGGATGAAGCCTAAAACACTTACGGTCAATATCCAATAGAGGATGGCAGTATGGTTGCAGGAACATTGACATTGCTCCTTGTACAAGTATATGAAAAGAATAATCAGGGCTGGAGCGATAGTGCTAATACTGTGGGTATTCGCCTTGCATGCGGCTGACCTGGGTTCGGTTCCCAGCATCCTATATGGTCCCCCGAGCACCACCAGGAGTAATTCCTGAGTGCAAAGCCAGGAGTAACTCCTGTGCATCACTGGGTGTGACCCAAAAAGCAAAGCAAAGCAAAGAAAAGAAAAGAAAAATCTGTTTTAAAAACCGCAGGCAGTTTGGCATGAGGGGTTAGAAAGATAGTGCAGAGATTAAGGAGCTTGCCTGGCACATGATCAACTTCAGTTCCATCCCCTCAGTTCCAGCACCACAGATGGTCCCAAGAGCACCAATTGAGAATTGACAAGATAAGCAAGAGCTGTTTTTGCCTTTTTGGAGCAGCAAACTGTGAAAAGGTAATATAAGTGGGAGGAAGGCAATAAAGAAAAAATTGGGGGGGGAGGTGAATAGGGGGTGTTGCAGTTCCTCTAGTACGATGAGAGTTTAAAAGGATTTCCAAGGAAGAAAAGTGTGGGGCCATAGTAAAGCAGGTGGGACGTTTACCTTGCAGGATGCAGCTAATACAGGCATCCCATATGGTTCCTGAGTACCGCCAAGAGTAATTCTTGAGTGCAGAGCCAGGAGTAACCCCTGAGTTGTTTTGGGTGTGACCCAAAAACAACAATTAAAAAAAACTATGTCCTGCCTTGACCCAGAAACGGCAGTGGGGAGCTTTTCCTCCATTTATTATTATATAGATTATTATATTATTATTACCTTCAACTCAAAATAAGTTTTATGCCAAAGAGGTCTAATTTGGGGCCGACATTCTAGTTCCCTCTAATAGTACAAACCCATATTTGTACAAAAGCCACAAATTCAGGTCTTTGACTAATTTTCATAACCCTAACCCTGCTTCATTGTTAGGAAAATTTGGGGATTTTCAAAGCCCTTTCATCATATTGTATTGTCTCCATGCCACCTGACTTAATGTGTTTAGAAATCCTTAGGGTTTTGTTGTGTTGTTATATAAAAAGCAACTCCCCAAACTCCTCCTGAGAATAGCTCCTTTTTACCTTGGCCTCTTTGACAAACTCCTGTGGGATCAACTCTGTAAAATTACTTGCTTTTACAGTCTGGGCATCTGTCAAGTCTGTCAAATTCTGTGTCATTTCATTGTTTGAGAAATTCAAGATGTATCCATAAGATCTGTAAGATGCCATTTTAAAATTGTTGGTCCTAGCAGGCTGGGAAGATCATACATTTACTTTCGGAGGGCATTCACTTTGCATATGGCTGAGCTGAGTTTAATCCCTGGTACCCCACAAGGTTCCCAGAGTCCGACAGGAGTGATCCCCAAGCACAAGGCCTGGAGTAAACCCTGAGCACTGCTGGGTGTGGTCCACAAAAATAAATTAGAAAAAAGAAAAAAGAGAGCTCTTGGGTTTGATACATATGTTTCTGATCCATTCCTGGTAGCAATGACATCTGCACTGCAACAAAGTATTTGTTAATCCAACTTGCTATCATGCAAGATATGTTGCTTGCAACTATATTCTGCAGGACTGTATCTCACTTCCAAGCTTTCCACAACTATGAGCAGAATTCCTAAGGGATAGACTTTTTCATATTGCTATTGCCATAAACCTTGCTAAACCTGACCTGTGCAGGCAACCTGTTAATCCTGGTTCTGATCACAAGGGGTCTCCTTTTTCATTAGCAATAAAAGGAGTTGAAGGGCTTGTGAGAACAGAGGTAGGTATAAGAATATGCCAAGAGACCAGAGTGATAGTTCAGCGAATAGGGCACTTGCCTTGCATGCAGCGGACCCAGGTTTGATCCTTGTTAACCCATATGGTCCCTTGAGCCCTCCAGGAGTGATCCCTGAGTGCAGATCCAGGGGTAAATCCTGAGCACAGTCCGGTGTGGTCCAAAAACAAAAAGGAAAAAATAGAAAAGAAAGAAAAGAAAAGATGCCAACATTTCAACAATCCACAAAGGTTCATATGACATTTGTAGGAATTGGGAGAGCTTGGATTTTACCAATACTAATATCTGACTGATTTACTCTATTTAATCTTGTCTTATTCACCTTACAAATCCCTAAAACTTTGTGGATAGTCCTGGGCCCTGGTTCTTGCCACTATTGGAGGTAAAGGGTTACCATTAGTCATGGTACCTGAAGGAGCAGCTTAAAAAGAAAAATGGAGTCATCCCTGCCCTGGGATTGGCTTCTATTTTCTCCGTATGAAAGAGAATAGTCTAGCTGTCTCCCCCAGGGTTACTATGACATTGCCTTGTCACCCTTTGTTACAAATGATGCCTTGCTGCAAATCCATTGTTATGAGTGAACGGGAGGCCTTCCTCCCCAACCGTGTCCTAGACAGCTAAATTTAAATCCTGCCCACAGTGTTGGAAGCAAAAGTAGCATGGAGAGGCTTCACAAAACACTCAAAACTCAGTATTAGGGCTAGAGTGATAGCACGGCGGGTAGGACCTTTGCCTTGTATGTGGCTGACCTGGGTTCGATTCCCAGCATCTCATATGGTCCTCTGAGCACAGCCAGGAGTAATTCCTGAGTGCATGAGCCAGGAGTAATCCCTGTGCATCGACGGGTGTGACCCAAGAAGGAAAAAAAAAGGATACAATAAAAAACTCAGTTTCAGTCTAGTGATGAAGTTGACTCTAAGGATGCTCTAATGGCAAGGGTAAGTGACGTTCCACTTTGCAAGGCTAGTGGCAGACATAGGATAGGGGTGCGAGGCGGGGGCGGGGCGGGAGTCACAAAAGGCAAACTGCAGCCAAAGGCAAAGAAAACCCACCAGCTCACTGCTTCTAGTGCGGGCCCCTAAGGGTTAAGATGAACGAGCGCCGGTCCTCCTCGGTTCCTAGAGAGGCTCCTAGGTGGCGGGGAGGAGAGAAACTTCCTGTGTCGGTGCTGGGGGGGCCAGAGTTTAGGGCCCTGGGTTGGTGGGATCCAAAGGCGCGGGGGTCTCTTTCCTTCGGGCACGTTGGGCCTGCTGGGGGTGCAGGACGGCCTGGGTGTGGCTTCCGCACCCAGAACCGTGAGTTCCTTCTCGGGGAGGCGGGAGGGAGTCGGGGGTCTTTGGCTGGACGACCGGGATTGCGCCCACCCGCGCGGGGGCAGCCGCGGGGGGTCCTGGCGCGGGATCGAGCTCCCGCCAGCACCGGCCCCGCCGCGCCGTCGCCAGGTCCTGGGAGGAAATTGTAGGCTGGGGGCGATCGGTCCTCCTGGGACTCGACCCTCACTTTGCGGACCCCGACCTGAGCGCACGGGGGCTCTCCTTAACCCACGGTTCGGGCGGTGCGTTTTCTCCAATCCCGTGCCCAGCCCCGCCCTAACTAATCACCCGCCTGTGCACAACACCCCGAGGATGGTCTTGATCCCGTTGTGTTTGCAACCGAAATGAAACAAACTTCAAACAAACCCGTTGCCTTTTTGCAACAGTTTTGCGGAGGTCGTGCTTCTGGGGTCATTGAAATCCACAAATGAGGCATTTCTTAGTAAGTAGAGAAAACGGTCTCTCGCCCGGGCTCCTACTGCCTTGGAAAAATTCTTGATTTATAACTAGACATTACTCAGCAGAACATCGACCCTCATTTGAACAACTTCCCTCTTGCTTTCTTTTCTTTTGCGTCAGTGTATGTTTTTCCTCCCCACTCAAATTTGAGGGCATTTGTAATTCACTTTCACCTTTTCTTTGAACAGATTTCTCATTGTTGGAGAGTGCTTGGGGAAGGCCAGATCGCTTTAGTAGAAGGTCTCAGGTATAAAACTGTTTTTGAGATGTCTGGTAATATATTCCAAGACAAAGGTCTTTTGGTGTTCTGCCATACCCTGCTTTCTGCTCTCTCTGAGTTCAAAAGTCAGGCCCCAAAAGGAGTTGGGAATGGTTTCTGCTCCTTCATGTTCTGGTTGAGTGACCTTGCAAAAGTTCCTTATGTTTTTGGGCTGCTCACTGATAACACTGCTAATTATTCACACACTTGATAGGGCTATTGTGAGCATTAAATGAGAAATACTTTGTGTAAATTAGTTAATTCACTGACTAGAACATGCTAGACAGGAATAGGGTGCAAATTATAAGTGAACCATTCTTTGTTTTCCAAATGCTTGTCTGTTTATATCCTTCGTAATTTAGGCTCCTTTTTTTCTGAATTGTGTGATTTTTTTGTTTGTTTGTTTTGGGACCCACATCCAGCTGTTCTCAGGCCTTCCTCCTGGCTCGGTCCTCAGGGATCATTCCTGGAAGTGCTCAGGGGACAATATGTTGTGCTGGGGATTGAATCTAGGTCCACGGAGTGCAAAGCAAGCACATAACTTGATGTACAGTCTCTCTGGCCCTGTGCTATTTTTAACATTCTAAAATGGATTGATGGGTCCGTTAATAAACTACCTTCTAGTGTTTGATCACATTCCCAACCTCTTAAAGTAGAGCAGAGATTGTAATTGGCTCCAAAAGACCAAGGGAATATTGTGATGATCATATACTTAGATAGGGGCCAGGGAGAAGTCTCTTGTTCTCCTCTCTTTTGTGCATAGGAGTCATTGCCTATAATTACTTTAGTCCTTCTCTCTCCTAATTTCTTGTTTGTGTTTGTATAAATCCTGAGTTTCTTTTGAAATTCATTTCCAAGGTGTCATCCTTCTCTCAGGTATCACATTATTCTTTCTTAATTAAATAGCTTTCTCTTTAGCAGTTTCTCTTTGAGGGGCCTCTATCTGCAGTGCTCAGGGGTTACTTTTTGCTCAGTATTCAGGGGTCATCCCTGGCAGGCTCAGAGAACCATGCAGGGCTCAGACTGAACCTAGGATGACTACATGCAATGCCTGTGTTCTAATACTCTGAGCCCTCTCTCCAGTCCTGTTAGCTGCTTATGAGTTCAGAAGTTGGCACAGTGATACTTTTGTCTTCTTATTGGTGCCTGGTCCAAACATTTACTATCTTTTCAAATAGTGTTTCTAAGCCTTAAAGGTATAATGATGATTAGTAACCATTCTGTTTTTGAAGTTTGATTTTTATACTTAAACATGAAGAAATTTGGTTTTCCTTAGAAAATGTCAATCATTATCTCTGTTCTGTTAATAAAAAGAAAAAAGAGGTGGAAAATGGGCACTGGTGAAGGGATGGGTACTTGATCATTGTATAACTGAAACCCAAGCACAAAAATTTGTAAGTCTACAACTGTACCTTATGGTGTTTTACTAATAAAAATTAAAAAAAGAAAAAAAGGGGGGGAGGAGTTTGTGGATTTAAAAAAAAATTCTGTTTCCAAATGGAGGATTAGATGACTTTGTTTGGTGGCGTTGGGACTTGCGGGTTTAAAGAAAATTGCTTTTTGAGTAGGGTGTATGAATTTCTGTTGGATTTTATATTTTAGAATCCTCCAGAACAACATGTGAGACCATGGAGTTAAAAAAAAACCCAGAGACCTTTATCAATTAATTGTACTGTTTGTGAATTTGTATAAATAATAACAAAAATCCTCTTAAAACATTTATATTCTTACAGTAAAAGGTTAAACTGATATTTATATAATAAAAGAGGAAATATGAAGTATGTTTTTTTTTTTAAAAAAAAAGACAAAAAACAACAACAAAAAAGAAAACGTCAATCAGGTTAACTGTTTGATCTTACCACTTTAAGGTTTTTTTTGTTATAAAGTTTAATGACAAAAGAAGGTTATAAAATTGTCCAGATGGTGTGATTACAACTATGTTTTCAAAAAAATTGGTGCATAAATGAATAAGGGAACAGCACTTGGGATCTATGGGTGGGGAGTTGGTTTATTTTAATAGACTTTATTTTATTTTTTTAAATTTATTTATTTATTGAATCGCTGTGGGAAAAGTTACAAAGCTTTCAGGTTTAGGTCTCGATCATGCAAATATCAATCACATTTCCCTTTACCAATACTTATTTTTCACCACGAAGAACCCCAATAAACCCCAACTCCCCACCCCCCCAATGCCTGTGGGGCAGATGAATTCTAGTTAACACTCTATCTACTTTGACTAGCTTCATTGTTTCGATAAAAGTTGCACCATTATTATTTCGACTTTACTCCCCCCCCCCCCCAAATCAGCCATGCTGAAAAAGCATTGTGAAATGATTTGCTTTCTATAGCTGGGTTCAAGAGTTAAATGATGTCACGTGACCGCAATAGCGGCCGTGCGGTTTTGGATTTCTGCTATTTTATTTATTACCCCTGGAAGTATTTCTACTGAGAGTCAGATAATTAAGAGATTGGTTTCTGTGCTCTGGAGTCATGGCGGTGCGGGAGAGCCGCTCCTGGGGGGCAACTGGTGACCTCGGTAGGGGGTAGGGCATGAAGGACACACTTTAAGGTTTTATAAAAGCACTTATAACAACTATGTTTCTTATTTTCCATGTAGTTTGCAGACATCTATGTTGTTGCCACATTTATAAAGGAAGAAGGAAAAATACTTGCTAATAGATGACCTCAAAATAAATTGTTTCCTTCTACAGGATTTCCAGTAACCTGACTGATCATTGTGATGGAACAGGAGCAAAAACCCATGGTCTCAAATTCCAGTGCCTTCACTGACAGGGAGAATTTGAAAAGCACTTTCACAGGTGAGGGATCAAGAAGATGATCTGAAAAAAAGTGGAGAAAGAATAAGGCATTAGAATGAGATCATTGGTGTGTTGTATGAAAGGAGAGAAGGTTAGTATATATCTATAAAAAAAATAATAACAATATGAGCCTAGTCCCCAAGGACAGTAGAAACAATGGCCAGGAAAACTAATCCATGGTTGGAAGCTTGCCAACAAGTGGTTGGTGGGGAGGGCAGTTATAGAGTAGGGACCACTATGACAATGATAGCTGGAAATGATCACTCTGGACAAGAACTGAGTGTTGAAAGTAAGTAAAGGGACAAACATGATAACCTTTCAGTACCTGTATTGCAAATCATAATGCCCAAAAGGAAAGAGAGAAAGGGAGAGAGAAAGAATAAAATGCCTGCCATAAAGGCAGGCTGGGGGTGGGGGGTGGGGGAGGCGTTGGCAGGAGAGAAACTGGGGACATTGATGGTGGGAAATGTACACTGGTGAAGGGGTGGGTGTTGTATGACTGAAACCCAATCACGAACAACTTTGTAACTGTATTTCACAGTAATTCAATGTGTGTGTGTGTGTGAGAGAGAGAGAGAGAGAGAAAGAGAGAGAGAGAGAGAGAGAGAGAGAGAGAGAGAGAGAGAGATTATTGAAGTGCGGGAGGGGAAAGGCTTTGGGCCATACCTGGATCTGCTCAGGAATCACTCCTGGCAGGACTTAGGGGACTATTTGTGGTGCAAAGATCGAACCAGGATCAGACACGTGCAAAGCAGTGCCTTAAGTGCTGTCCTATTCTGGCCCTGAAAATGAGATTAGATTTGAATTCCCAGTTACACACTGTGCTACAGCCTTGGTTTTCTCACTTTTAATAAAAGTGAGTTATAGTATCTGTCTTCCTTGTTAAGGATTATGTGATTCTGTATGCAAAACCATCTGTCATGAATAATGGGCACCATTGTTATTTCAGTGTTGACTAAGTCTGTGATATAGTCCATTTTCACCTCAGATGGTATCCTATTTTTTTTCAAATTTTGATTAGTGAATCACCACGAGGTACAGTTACAGACTTACAAACTTTTGTGCTTGCATTTCAGTCATACAATGATTGAGTACCCATCCCTCCACCAGTGCCCATTCTCCACCACCAATGATCCCAGTATCCCTCCCACCACCCCCACCCCATCCCCCACCACCGCCACTATGGCAGGGCATTCCCTTTTGTTCTCTCATTCCTTTTGGGTGTTGTAGTTTGCACTAGAGGTATTGAGTGGCCATTGTGTTCGATATACAGTCTACATTCAGCTCACGTCTCCCAACCCAAGCTGGTCCTCCAAATACCCTTTACTTGGTGGTCCCTTCTCTATCTGAGCTTCCTTTTCCCCCAGCATGTGAGGTCAGCTTCCAAGCTGTGGAGTAAACCTCCTGGTCCTTATCTCTACTATTCTTGGATATTAGTCTTCCATTCTGTTACTTTATATACCACAGATGAGTGCAATCTTTCTATGTCTCTCCCTCTCTTTCTGACTCATTTCACTTAACATGATACTTTCCAGGTTGATTCATTTATACGCAAATTTCATGACTTTATTTCAAGTCTCACAATTTGTTGTGAGACATTACTGGTGCCTGCTTGAGCAAATTGATGAACAGTGGGAGGACAGTACAGTGCAGTGCAGTGCAGTGCATCTTTTCTAACAGCTGCATAGTATTCCATTGTGTAGATGTACCAAAGTTTCTTTAACCAATCTTTAAAAATCTGTTCTTGGGCAGTCAGGTTTTTCCCAGATTTTGGCTATTGTAAACAGTATAGTGTACAATACAGATGTCATTTCTATATTCTTTTGCCTCTCCAGGATATATTCCCAAAAGTAGTATAGCTGGGCCAAATGGGAGCTCAGTTTCTAATTTTTTGAGAATTGTCCATACTGTTTTCCAAAAGGGCTGAACCAGTTGGCATTCCCACCAGCAGTGAAGGAGAGTCCCTTTCTCCCCACATCCGTACCAACACCGGTTGCTTTTGTTCTTTTGGATGTGGGCCAGTCTTCGCCGTGTAAGATGGTATCTCATTGTTGTTTTGATCTGCATCTCCCTGATGATTAATGATGAAGAGCATTTTTTCATGTGCCTTTTGGCCATTGGACATCCTATTTTTTTCTGCTCATATTTTTATGTATCTTTTAAGTTATTTTTAGATTGATATTGGCAATTATTAACAAGACTTTAGTGTTATTAATTACAAAGCATTAAAATAGTCACCTCTTGGGTGGGAGAAATACCTCAACAAGATGCATTTCTGGGGTTGATCTCTGTGTACATGGTCCCTTGAACACTTCCAGAAGCAAAACCAGAGCATAGAGCCAGGAGTAGCCCCTGAGTTATGCTCTTTGGGTGTGGCCCATAAATGAAAAACCAAAAATCAAAAACAAGAATTTCTTTTACCTTTTTTCTCTGATGAAAACTTAGAATAAGAATTGGAAACTTTCAAAGCTTTCATTAAAAATATTTTATAAGAGTTTCATTTTCTCCCTTCTTGGGACAGAGATCTGGGGATATATTTAAAATATTTGTTTATTCTTGCAGAAGGCGAACATGAAAGTCACCTGGAAATTATTCAATACAATAATCCTAAGGCAGTTAAACTTAAAAAGGGAATCTTGAGATGGTCTAAGAAAGATGGCCCACAAAATTATAAGCACAAGGATATGAAGGGAATGTCACTGACATGCTCTCAAAGAGATGAGAGTTGGTGTAGTGAGTCCTGTGAGAGTGAGGGCATGTCAGAGAATGAGGGGAATTGTAGAGGAAAAGAGGAAGAAAAGCCACCTCCTTGGGGAACAGACTTCTGCTCGCACATCAATGCCTCTGTCCAGGGGAATGCATCCTTTAGAGATAGACCCTACAAATGCTCTGAATGTTGGAAGAGCTTCAGTAATACTTCTCATCTGCGTACTCACCAGTGGACCCACTCAGGAGAAAAACCGTATAAATGTTCCGAGTGCGGGAAGTGCTTTAGCAGTAGCTCTCACCTAATTCAGCATCTGAGAACACACACAGGTGAGAAACCCTACCGGTGCGGTGACTGCGGGAAAAGCTTCAGCAATACCTCACATCTTATTATCCATAAGCGAACTCACACGGGAGAAAAACCCTACAAGTGTCCTGAGTGCGGGAAGAGTTTTAGTAGCAGTTCTCACCTGATCCAGCACCACAGATCACATACTGGTGAGAAGCCGTATGAGTGTCCTGTCTGTGGGAAGTGCTTTGGCCATAGTTATGTCCTCATAGAGCACCAGAGGACTCACACTGGAGAGAAACCTTACAAGTGCCCCGATTGTGGGAAGAGTTTTAGTCAGAGCTCTAGCCTGATTCGCCACCAGAGGACTCATACAGGGGAGAAGCCCTACAAATGTCTTGAGTGTGGGAAAAACTTTGGTTGTAATTCTACTCTAATCAAGCATCAGCGAATACATACAGGAGAAAAACTCTACCAGTGTACAGAATGTGAGAAGAATTTCAGTCGCAGCGCAAATCTTATTACACATCAGAAAATGCACACAGGAGAAAAGTCCTACAAAAGTTTCAGATACGAAGGAAGCCTGAGTCACCACAATGATGTCACCCAAGAGTGCAGGATCCAGCCAGGAGAAAAACCATATAAATGCTGTGAATGTGGGAAAAGCTTTGGCCTCAGCTCCCATCTTATTCGACATCAGAGGACACACACAGGAGAGAAGCCTTACAGATGCTCTGAATGTTGGAAAACCTTCAGTCAGAGTTCCACCCTGGTGATCCACCAAAGAACACACACAGGAGAGAAGCCTTATAAATGCCCAGACTGTGGTGAGGGCTTTAGTCAAAGCTTTAACCTTATCAGACACCGGAGGACTCATATGGGAGAAAAACCTTACAAGTGTGCAGACTGTGGAAAATGCTTCAGCAGAAGTACCTACCTCAGTCATCATCAGAAAACTCATTTGAAGAGGTCTTTTGAGTGTCCTGAAGTTGAAGGTTTTTCTCATGACAGTACTTGGAAAAACAGTTCGAGGGAAATGGCCTTTATCTCTTCATTTTCAATCCCGAATTTTTCTTCTTCTTGAATCCCAAAGCTGGTTTTATGGATGTTGTTTCTTTGAATTTTTTTGTTTGTTTTTTGGGCCACACCAGTGATGCTCAGGGGTTACTCCAGGCTCTGCACTCAGGAGTTATTCCTGGTGGTGCTCAGGAGACCATAAGGGGTAACCCATTGAAGCTGAGTTGGTCGCATGTAAGCCCTTACCATCTGTACTATTTTTGCTAGATCATTTCAGTTAAGGTATTCTCGTCATAGTGCTTACAAAGTTATAGAAGTTTTGTGGGGGTTTGGTTGTTGTTGTCTTTATTTGTTTTGATTTGTTTGCCAAAATATCTAGAAAAAGTCAGGCTTTCAGTGTATTGAATGACAAGATCCAGATAAACAGGTCATTAGATCCCAATGAGAGCTCCTACTAAGAATGGAGAAGAAGAAAAAAATTAATTTTAGGTGAGATTATAATGCATAAAGAAAAAGGAAAAACTCAAGTGGAATCATAGGAATAAGGACACCTGAGATCTTACAATGAATTTGGGATTTCCTTTTTTTTTCTATTGTCTGGTAAGATAACAGCAAACCCTTTCTGAACTCAGGAAATTTCCCAGAAATTTATTTTTATAGATGATGTTATTTCCTGACTGATTTTTAGGCAGGAGGAGAGTTCTTAAGGAAGATACATTTTTTAAAAAAAACTTTAAAAATGCCCTTTTAGGTGCTGGTTGAGAGCTAAAAAGGCTGGAGCATGAGGTTCCAAATTTTATCTCTGACACCATATGCACCCCCAGCCTCCACCAGTCCTATGAGTTGGAGTCTTGGTAGCCCTTGAGCACCACCAGCTGTGACCCGGTTGACCCCAGCACCACTGGGCTCAAGTGGCTTTGCATATAGGATCTGTGCTTTAACCTGTTCAGCCCAACCAGCCAAGTATTTCTGGAAGATTGCCCCCCAAAAAAGCTTTTGTGTTGACTAAAAATTGTTTTATAGTATCTAGAGCTTCACAATTCAATATAATGACAAGCAACCACAAGTGACTATTTAAATTTGTATTAAGGGTGAAATTTAAACTCCAGTAGTTTAGACATACTTGCCATTTGAGATGTGCTCAGTAGAAACATATGACTGGTGTTGATGTTTTGTTTTGTTTTGGGCCCACACCTGACCATACTCGGGGCTTACTGCCCACTCTATACTCAGGTATCATTCCTGTTAGGCTCAGGGAACCATAGAGGGTACCCAGGATGAAACCTGATCAACCCAGGTTTGAACCTTGGCATCCCATATGGTCCCCCGAACACCACCAGGAGTAATTCCTGTGTGCAGAGCCAGGAGTAACCCCTGAGTATTGCCGGTGTGACCCAAAAAGCCAAAAGAAAAAAACAAAGAGGAGTGGAATGGCATTTTGAAAGCACTGACTAGAGACTGTTGTAATGATTATAGGTTTTATGTTCAACCATCTCAGTAAGCTAGTGTTGGCTATTAACCCTAAGTGTTTTTAGGCTTCACCAGTGAATTGCCCCTTTTTCTCTCCCAGAGAAGCTTACAGTGCTCTTGTGAGCACCACTAATCCCTTGAGTTTATCTTTAATCTTTGTGTTTTACCTCTCATTGTCACAGTTCCCCAAGTCACTCTTGGTTGTTTATAAGCCAAAATTTCCTGGAAATTCTGAACTTTGTTTTTGAAGTGAATTACCTGCGATAGCACAGCAGTAGGGTGTTTGCCTTGCACACAGCCAACATGGCCAACCTGAGTTCGATTCGTCCGCCCCTCTCGGAGAGCCCAGCAAGCTACCGAGAGTATCTCACCCGCACGGCAGAGCCTGGCAAGCTCCCCGTGACGTATTGGATATGCCAAACACAGTAACAACAAAGTCTCCAATGGAGACGTTACTGGGCCCGCTCGAGCAAATCGATGATCAACGGGAGGGCCTTACTTTATATTTCCCCTATGGCCTTTTCATATTTTACGATAGAGCAATGATTGTTCTTTGCTTAAACACAGAAAGACCGTTAATGCTGTGCTCCTAATATTTTGGAGTTATTTGGCTCTGAAATATGTCTACTCCTGGGCATCCATCTTAATTACTTGACTCAGGCTTTGTTTGCCATAATTCCTAACACCCCACAAAGAGACGTCCCGCCATGGAACTGTGATGGACCCAGGGCAAATGGCAAAGCTACCCTGGCATCAAAATGGGATAGTCTAGAATAAATACATGCAAGTTGATGCAAGTTTTTATGACTTAAGAGATAGGACCCCCAGGGGGAAAGACAAGCTGAACCTGACTGAGGACTTAGTCTGGGATTTATGGTAAAAGCCTTGCTTGCTGAGACCAGAGAACTAATATTTGGAAACTTTATCTCTTAGTTTCCTTATACAAACAACTGCAAGTATTGGTAAGAAGTAAACTTAATTGTTTAACATATACAACTAGAGGGAAAGGGAAAAGCAATATAGATGTTCCTGGGAGACAGAGTATCTCCTTGAGTTAATCTCCCCAAGAGAATCTCTGCTGAAATGCTTTATCTCTGTAAATGATCAATCATACATACTTGTGGGCATATACCTCAAACTTATTCAGAAGTTCTGTAAGTATGCTAACAGCTCTGCATTAAATGGGCCATTTTCACCATTTGTCTGTGGTTTTTGTTCCTCTGCTGGGGAGGACTGAGAGGCAGCTCTCAACTAGCACCACACTTGGTGAACTCACAAGGTAGTGCTTTGTCCCATTGTCTTGCCCAGAGCTAGATTAGGTGGTAGAATTCTTGAACTATTTTCAATTTTTTGGTCAAATGTCCTGTCTCAGCTTTTTTGTTACCTACTTCCTAGTCAGCTAGTCAGATTAGAAACTTGTGGGTTTGTTTTTGTTTTTGTTTTCTAATATGTCCCCTAGTCTGAGCCAGTTTCCATGGACAGCTTGCCAATGGAGACCAACATTCCTCAATTCTGGCTACCTCAGCTCTGGTTCTGTTTGCTCTGTGCAAAGAAATGGTGAAAGAAACGTTTCATTCTTTCTTTTTTTTTCTTTTTGGGACCCACCCGGCGATGCACAGGGGATACTCCTGGCTTTTTACTCAGGAATTACTCCTGGCGGTGCTCAGGGGACCATATGGGATGCTGGGAATCGAACCCAGGTCAGCCACATGCAAGGCAAACGCTCTACCCACTATACTATCACTCCAGTCCCATCAGTATTTCTTATTCCCCATATTTTACCCTACTAATCAGAAAGGTTAATTTATATGAAGCTCAAGACTTCTCAGTTGCCTGAGTTTTTATCTCAGACTTTTGGATTGACACTTTGTGGTAGAAAGACTATGTAGAGATTCACATTAAGAATGAATACCAGAAAGGGCCAGTTACAGATGCTGCAAGGGACAGGTGTTGCTGGATACTGCTTTGCAGAAAAGGGATTTTTTTTTCTCTACATAATTGTAGTGTGCCTGATACTGGCAAGGCAGTTGTTTCTGTTCGCCTTATTAAACTATTCTTTAAAAAATAGAACAAATAGGGGCTGGAATAGTAACACAGCGGGTAGGGCAATTGCCTTACACGCGGCCAACCTGGGTTCGATTCCCAGCATCCCATGGTCCTCTGAGCACCGCCAGGAGTAACTCCTGAGTGCAGAGCCAAATATTTGAGAACAAATATTTACAGTATTTTTAAAACCTTAAAATAATTTTTTTGCAGTGTTGGGTATTGAACCTAAGGTTTCACACATGCAAGGCAAGTACTCTACCACTGAGTTATATCGCTGGCCTCCTTTACAAGGTTGTTTTGTTGTTTACTGTCAACTAAGAGTTTGATTATTAAAGATTATTAAAAATTATTAAAGAGTTTGGTAATTAAATTTGTATATTTACTCTTGTAGTGTTGGGAACAGTTTTTCCCCAAGGTTCCTGGAACTACTGCGCACCAGGTCTGGGCAGGTGCTTGGGCATGGGGTGAAGGATGATGGGCGTGTGGAGAAACACCATTCGGGAGCAGCTGATGGCAGCTCACTTTATTGTGCAATACACACATATTTTATAGAGGGTCTTGGCTTATAGGAAGATCCAATCACATAAAGTTTAGCACTATTGGCCTATTACCTTTCCTACTCTGCTTTTCCCCTGGTCCAATCCCATTCAAGGCTAGAGGCTGCAGTTAGGATGACCTGCTAAGCATAGGTGACAGTTTTCTGTGTTTTTGGCATATGTGACTAGGAGTGAGCTTCAAGGCTGGACACCTGGTGCTGACATGCTGTTTTGCTCACTTTGCCTAGTTACTCCCTCTTGCGAGGCTTCGCTGTAAGGCCTCTTTGCAAGGTCGGGTGTCATCTACTCCAGTGCCTGTCGCCAGCCACATTGTTCAGTTACAAGGCAGTAGCTGTTGAGGTCTTCTGCCAGCATCTATCACGTTATGTATGGCAAGTAACACTCTAAACCTGTTCTTCAGGTGGAAAACAGAGAAAATACCTAGCAGGGTTTCGGTAAGGATTAGATACAGAGAGTTATGATTTATTGATGGCTTGACTCAATGAGTTTTCTACTTTATGATGGCATGAAAGTAGTAAACGTTCATTAAAAATGCTACTTAAATATTTGAATCACAGCATTCTGTTTTTTCGCTTTCAGCGTAGAACTATTTTAACACTTTGCTATAAAATGGTGTGTAAGAGATGTTCAGCATATTAGATATTTTACATGCTTCTTTTACTTATATTTTCAACTCATGATGGGGTTATCAGATGTAGCCCTATCAGAATTTTAGCAAGATTGGTAATTGGTTACAAAGCAGCTAGTACAGTTCTCAGAATGTAACAGGATCTAATTGTGATTTATTAAAACAAGTTTTAAAAAGTGTCCTCCATATGTTTCCAGAAGTAACAGCACAAACTATTGTGTCTCTCTTGCAGAAGTAACAGTACAGACCATTGCATTCTTTAACCAGTCTCAGGAACCCTGAGAATTGAAATATTATAAAAACTGACAATTATGTTGTGTTCCAAGATTGTGGGCTGTGGAAAACACTTTTATTTGATTCATCTTATTGTATTGTTGTTAGTGAAATAAAGGGTATAGTTTTTTTAGGAAAAAAGA